GATTTGCCGATTGCGGGCTGGAGAATCAGCACCATTTTCCCTCAACGTGCAAGCGGACACAGGTTTTAGAGTCCGTGAACGCCATCAGAGTGGAAAAGGGATTGCACCGATTTGGCCGCGAAATTTCTGAAGGAGGTCCTGAGTGTGCATAACTTTTGATAGCTCTCTTAACGGAAGGATAGCTTTGCTAAATTCGGATACTTTAGAATATCTTATACCAGATTTTAAGGGCGGTGACTGAAGAGAGCTGACGACATGTAACAGTGCGTGCCAGAGAAATAAACACATGAAATCTCTCTGTGCTTCTAGAGAGGACAAGCTGACTCAGAGTACTAGGTGATTTAAATGTACAACTATTTACCAGTTTAAACAGTATAAATAATCCCTTCTGTAGTCTGCTAAGCCGCGACGGATCGAGGTTTGTCATACCGTTGTTGGGAGAACATATCAATGTGTTTTGATGTTTTGAAATTTCGGAGAATAAACCAGGTATTTCACGCGCTTGCGAGGCCTTCGACGCAGTGCTCTCACACATTACGACCATAACAATACAATATGCTCCTTAATAAATCCGTGCACATTTAGGTTCCGATCGTCTACGCTTATTTAGGGCTAATGTTCATGGCCAATGCACAGAACGTAGCATTTGTGTCAAGAAAGAAAGGCGCCATTTGCAGCAACAATGCATGTAGGTCTTGAGATCCTTTTCGAGAGTTCAAGTACGATGTTGCCAACTGCCAGTTTATATTGATAGGCACATGATAATCATCAGCGTATATGAATGGCCTACCCTACTAAAAAGGGAACTGTCATAACTCAGAGAAGCATAATATTCGCGTATGGGCAATACACCTGCCATATTCTGGAGAGAATTGGCGATCGAACTGTCCAAACCACTATCGCATATCTTCAAGTCTTCCTTTGAATAGGGAAGATCGCTTAATGAATATAAGACAGTAAATATCATCTCGATATACAAGGTTGGAGCTTTAGATTATTTCTGCTGGGGAATAAGTCATCCGAAAAAAAGTAGTTAGCCGATGAGCTCAACTTTTTGGAAATCCCTTCGTTAAATATTGCGAAACTCTGTTCGTGCGCAGTGAAAGTGCAGAGAAGAACGCAGCACTCCATATTTCGAGATGCCTTAGGAAACCCCATAACTGACGCTAGATGTTTAGTCTTGCTCTTGAAAATGAACCTTTCCTATTTTGTGGAAGAACGAAATTCTAAGTTCCAGAAATAAACTAGCATTATCGCCACATGCAATCGAATATCTGCGAAGGGTGCACATATATTTGGTTTTATATCTCATAATTTCTCCATTTGGAA